GCTCGCGCCCATGGCGCTGGCGGCCCCGGGAGCTGCAGCAGCGCCGGGAGCGCGCAGCGGCGCGGAGGAGGCTGCACGCGCCCGCGGAGGGCAAAGCAGCGCTCTTCGTGCAAGGCCGTTTTGGTTTTCCTGAGCAGCTGCTGTAGAGGCAGAGCTTATAGAGAGATTAAAGTCAAGCTGGGCCCTGCTCCCTTGATAATGCAGCAGTTACCCCTTCCCACAGGCCAGGCGCTTCTGCACAATTATTTTGCAGTCTCCGAAAACCAAAACGGGTTTCGTAGTGTACGTGTGCTCTCCTCAGCACAAGTTAGTATTTTGATAACCTTCATAAGAGCAGCTTGCATGAATTGCTGGTTTATAGTTAAGTGACATATCAACTCTATGTCACTTCAGGTACAGCTAAAGAGTGGTCCTTCACTGAGTGAATTTTCCCTTAGTATCTGTAAGAAGATAGGTCTATGATTTTTTTTCAGATGAAAACTTAGAAAAGCAAAAAGACAAAAATGAAAAAAAAAACTTGCATAAGAAACAGGCTTTGAATGATACCAGTCTAACATTTTATTTATTGCATACAAAAGGATTTTTTGACAATGGAATTTAATATGAAAAGTAATTGGATGCATACTGTTGAGAATCTTCAAAGATGCTGCAGAAAACTTAAGGCAATGCATCAAAGCATGTAAAGCACAGTAAGTGGTAGAAATTTCAAAATCAAAAGCCTATTCATTTTCCTTCCCTTAAATTATAGTCAAGTCACAACTTTCTGAAACAGAAGTAGGCTGCAGCTTTATTAGCCCCTGCAATAGCATGTAAGACCAGAACACCGTGATTCCTGGCAAATACCTAAGTGTTCAACATCACATTACAATGCATACATTTAAAAGCAAGACCAATATCAGTAGCAGTTATTAAACAATTCAATTCATGGGCCACTAAAATGCCTCTAGTACCAGGCACCTAAAACAGGTGCATAAAATAATTCCTTAAAAAATATCCCCAAAACCTGTGCTTCTTTGTCCCGTAAGGAAGCCAAAACAGATTCCAACACATAAGTAGGGTCTCAATTATTTTATAGGCCCTGTTTGTTTTGTTTTTTCCTTCATCCTACGTCTCACCAGTACCTTCTTGGAAACTTTTAAGAGAAGTGAATAACCTCAAGACTTCAAGCACCACCGGTCAACCAGCTTCCCTCCTTTTCAATAGCCACTGAAGAAAAGGAAGCGTCTGTTATCCGGTCCTTCCAGTTTTGTTTTAATTCATTTTTAGCAATGCAGATTCAATTTCATACAGACTTTCAGTTTCCTGCAGCCACCATGTTCAAGAAGCTTTAGCATAAAACCATGTCAGGTTTTGAAGCAGTCAAATGACATTTTGCCTCTCTTCCATATCCCCCATTTTACAAACACAAAGTGGTTAAGTTCAATTTTAGCAATGCAGTTAAGCCTGAAAATGTCCGCTCATCACACATGCTGGAATAAAAATTTCTTCCCTCAGTGCCAGAGGTGGTAAGTCTCTTGCCAGCAATAGACACTGCATTGGAAAATGCTACTCCTAACAGACTAAAAAAAAAGGGAAGCAGCTGTAACCAGACAAAAAACAGGCATCAAATTAGATAAGGTCATATTTATAAATGGGTCATTTTTTAGTGTAAACATAACATTTCATTTTCTAAGTTTACTGTAAACTATTTTACATTTATGTGAATATGAAAGACGGACAAGAGAAACTGAAGATATTTATTACTCAATCCACTTACAAAGCAGGTGGCTTAATGCAAGCTTATTGACATGTTCGCATATGATCCCCTAGAATCATCTTTTCCGAAGTGACAGTTAACGCTGTCTCAATGTTTTTGCAGTTTTCAGCATCTATCGAGCACATTTAAATAAACTATACTCTATTACGTGTGAAAGAATGTTGATAAGCAACTTGAGTCCTGATGTGGATTAAAAGTTCCTCCAAAGGCAAAAATGTTAGTACATTATAACTTAATTCTATATACTATATTATGCAGCAAATCTTAACTATAGAAAATATTTCAATCAGTGATGGACTGTTGGTAATTTATAAAGAGGGAATCTATGGATCAAGGCAACACTAGGTAACCACATAATTTGTGTCTCAGTTTCTACAGAAATTTACAGGCTTTCAATTTACTAATAAAAAATAAAACAAGAGACAGGTGAATTTAGCTAAATTTATTAACTTTAAAACTAATAAAAACCCCAAGACAGGCCTGGGATCTTTAGAAGTTCTATGAATGCATGTATATCTGCCCCTTCCCTGCAAAAAACCCCTCCCCAGAAAACAATCACCCAAAAAAACAAAAAAACAAAACAAAAAAAAAAAAACACAAACCACCCTGCAGCTCTAAGTCCTGATTGAATGGTTTATATATATATATATAAAAAAAATACACAACAACAAAAAAGTGTGCAGATACTTCAACTTAAGTTAGCAGAAGACCAAAGATTCTAATTTCTTCCATTTTCCTACAAACTCTTTCACTCTGCAAGTATCTACAATCCAGCTAACTGAAATCAACATTTAGTGTTCATTAGAGCTGTTTCACAGCAGCAAATATTAAGTTAGGGATTCAAATTTCTAGACATAGGAAGAAAGTGATAAATACAATCCAAACAGCAGTCTAAATGTTTAATATTGACATTCAAATATATCTGCATTGTGCTGAAAGTTTAAAACAAACAAAAATCTGATCAGACAAAACTCTGGCGATGAGTATGCTATATTTATCAGTCAGACTGAAAATAGTTCATATTCTGTTCCCAGTATTAAGGATGGTATTTGACTCAGAACTGATATTGTTAATATACAGCAGCCATTTTTCCTAATTAAGGAATGTCTCAATACATAATATTATCCTTTTCTAGATGATCTTTATACATTAAAGTAAAATACAATTGATTAAATTAAGGAATCCGAGGTTAGTAATGAGTGAAATCATATTTTCAAAGCTCGATACTATATAAAACAAACCAAAAAAAGAGACCACACAACTCTACTTACTAAAGCAGCTATTCTTGCCTGCAAGTTTGGGATCACAAAGCCCATAATATGTGCAAACAAATGCAATACAAAGAACCATGCAAAAATACAGTAATGAATTAAAAGAAAAAACATAGAATCTGAACAAAAAAAGAGGTTTTATAAATACACTGAAATTCAACTGTCTACATAAAGTGTAGGTCTAGCATTAGTTGTACCATATAGCAGAGCCAGCACTCTAGGTTCAATGCTTCCAAATCTGCGCAGGTAAGTCATGCCATCTTTGGTTGACTGCAGTACCAGGAAGGATGAAAGGGAGTGAGAGGGAGGACAAGAGTTCTCAAAAACGGTGTCAACTTTCACTAGGCAGTTGAGCCTCAATGTCCACCCGGCAAATGGGGCACTTCTTGTTAGTAATCAACCACTGATCTACACATACTTGGTGGAAAAGGTGCATACACGGAAGGCGCCTGTCATTAGAACAGAAAAGATCTGTGTTAATAAAACATGTACATATCAACATACCATTGGAATAATGCTAACATGAACTTTGCCATTAATTCATCTTCTTGCCTTGCATGTTCCCCCCTACCCATGTCCCCAGGCTTCACAAACCTAGCTAGAATTATGAAACTGGTGTAATAATGGGTCTAGAGAGTTTCTCCAATACCATCAATATTTGTTTTATTTATTGGTTACAATGACAGATAATGTTTAACTGCAGCTGTTAACCTATGAAGTGTTGCAAAGAGTAGTGTACCATAACAAAGTATGGTCTCAAAGCACAGCATTTGTATTATATTCTGATAGTCAGTGGTACTATTTACCTGACATCTTCACCTTCCTCTAATATAGACAAACAGATGGTACACTTTTCCTCTGTGTCTTCTTCTGTTCCTTCCTCTCCATCTTGTTTGCTGTGCAGTTTCCTCTGTGAGAACCAATCAGTTGTTACCTTATTAGTAGAGATGACATTATTGACAAACTGAGTAAAATCTGTTTTTAATACACATTCAACATATACTACTTTGTGAAAACTTTTATCAAACGTTTTCATTTTCAGTAGTGCTTATTCAAAAATATCTGAATCAAACTGGACCAAGAACTAGCACCCAGAGCAGAACTGCAGGATGTTTTTGACTTAGCTAACTCTTGCTAAATCATAAAACAGCCTACAGAACTATGAATATATAATAATATATAATCCTGCAACTTGTTAATTTATTGTCTACATGTAAATACCTTAATTTCATTCAAGAAGCCGCCAAATATATTCCCATTCAAACTTACTATCTTAATTCACAATTTATCAGATAATGAAAGAACACCTCTGTGGATGGAGTCATGTATTATGGTATAACAAATTGCAAGCGAAAGACAACTTGAATTGCCAAAATTCTGTTCCACGTACAAAACTTGTAAAGTTTCCAAAATGTGATCCCGCTAAAGAAAGAAAAAGGTATATACCAGATATTCTATGTAATAAATTATTCTTGACACATTAACTTAAAAAAAAAAAAAACCTTAACTTTGAGAATTCGAATGGCCACTACTGGGATGAAACAAAATCCAAAGTCGTATTTCCTCACTTCCCACCAGAGGCATTCAGGGTTCTAAACAATCCTCTCAACTAATTAATTCTTCTGAATACTGAAGCAGCTATCTTGAAATTTAATTTCTCGCCATTTTCCCCTTGCCCTCAATGTCTGTATTCATCTCGCTCTTTCCTCCTCCACCAAAGATAACAGTTTAAGTGTAAAATATACAGCTCAGAAGCACAGTAAATTTATTGGCTGATAACTGAAAGTAATATTTTACTGACTCATTTGGAGCACAGATGCAGGAGGAAAGGAAGGACTAGGAAGAAGGCTGGTATTGCTCAGCTCTAGAGATCTTGCTCTCCATACTGGGTTTAAGATGCTAAGAAAAAAAATGCAGGACTAAGCAAACCAGCACGTATGAATCTGGCTACTAAACAATGTTAAAGTGTTTTTTTTTTTTTTTTTAAAAAAAAAAGCTTCTTTGTCAAGTAAGCTTAAAAGAAATAGCTGGCTTTCCCATTATCTTTAGAAATTAAGATTTTTGTATTTCTTGTTTTAAATTTCTAAAGAGCAAGATTACATTTCATTTTTCTTCTTCACTTCTTGGTATCTGTAATGCGCAGAAACAAGAACCAAAAACCATGTTTTGACCCAGTATTAACAAAAAACAAATAATATTAACTCTTTATTATCAGATGGACCAAGCAATTTTCATTTTTAGGACTGACTCAGCTTTGCTTACAATCATTTAAACTGCAACATACTGAAAACATGCCTTTGAAAGTCATTTCTGCCCATTTAAGCTACAAAATGGCATTATTACATCTTCAAAGATATTAAGCAGAGCCCACAGCCTGAGAAATCCTCACCTTTTTGTATTTATGTGGATAGGTGCATCTTTCTATAGTTCCCTGTGTTGCTCCACGATTAACGTTGCCTAATCGTTCTTCCAAGTGAATCAGCTCCTAAAAAGTACCAAGGAATAAACAGTGTAAGAACTGACACTTCAGTTAGTTTGAATAAATATTGATTTTATTCCAACCCTCTCACAGAATGACAGATACTTGTCAGTTCCCAAATTATTCAAGAATAGGCAAGAGGTAGTACCAAAAAGGGTATGTTGTACAGGAAAAATTATGGGTTTCCATAAACGAACACTGATACCACAGACACAGGAAACATTATTTTACTACTAATAAACAGGAAACTGTTCATCATCTGGGAACATTTATCAGTATGTTCAAACATATTTGTTTGTCTGGTTATGACAATGCAATTAAAATCGATCAGTAAAATACGCGTTTTCTAAGAGTCATTATGATTTGGAAGAAAAAAAAAGAGGCTTAAGCAGTAATACAGTGACCAATTTCTTATTCTCCAGCAATAAGGTGATTAGAAACATGAAGTGCCACTGAACATTTTCAGTGGACTAGGTCATTAACTCTCTGCATCTGATACATGTTTTTAAACAGTTCCTACACTACATAACAAACAGGACAGCACTATCAAATTTGCCAAGTTTCACTCTGACTAGCAGAATCCTGGCCTGGTTATTCAGAAACACCAGTACCTTTTATCAACACATCCTGCAAAGTACTATATCCTTACTATGGGATAGGAGAAAAAACAAAGTGTAGTGTCAGTTAATGACCACCTGAGCCTAGTAAGAGGCCTGGCAAAAGGTCCAGGGCTTTTTTTTTTTTTTTTTTTTTTTTTTTTTTGTATTAAAACTTGACTTTTCAAAAATAGTTTCAGCATCTCTTCCCAGCGCAAAATAACACAGTTATTTTACAAATTAAAAGTATTTTCCTGATTTTTTTTTTTTTTTTTTAATCCATGCTCTAAACATATACCCTCCCCATATTCCCTCTTGGCATAGTTTGGCATATATCTATTTTTGTTCTATTACAAACCTCAAAATTGCCCCTGAAAGGGCCTCTGAATGATGTTCCATCCAATCCCGATGAAATGTAACGGATGTGAGGGTAGCCCGCCATGTCTGGTACCTATTCAAACAGCAGACGTTAAGTTAAACCTATTCAGAACAGTTTCAGTATTTTACTGTTCACTTTGTAAAATGTAAGATCCTTTTGCTATCATTTATATTCCTCTGCTTGAGCACAAAATTCCAGCTGACGGCATGACACAACACTACGCTGAGCTTTCTAAACATAACCAGAAGCAAAACAAAAATTGGGCTAGATCCTCTATTAGTTTCTCCACATCTGCATTGCATATTCCGTGGTCTCACTCACCAAATCTTACCATAATCTCAATCTAATTTACATAAACACACCATAAATACCTAACCAGTTTTGTAAACAAAACTCCTCAAAACTATGCAAGAAGCTACTAATAGGACCTGCTATGGATTCTCAATCTCAAGTCAAACATAAGTTTTCAGTACCACAAAAGAAACAAGGCAAAAAGTCTGGAAAGCAGCCAAAAAACAACCAAACACCTTAAGACTTTTTAACTAGAGGGGGAAAAAAAAAAAGAAAAGAAAAGAAAAAAAAAAGCCACACCCCAAACACACACACACACACACACACACACTGAAACATTGGATAAATCTGATAACCTGAAGTCACAGGCACCTCTAAATACACTTGATGTTCAAGCATCCACTGGTTTCTTTGGATACTAGAAGATGCAAGCAGCAAACAAAATGCAGTGCCCAGTGAAATACCCTGCAGTTAACGTGATCACCTGCACTTTCCATGCAAAAAAGGGGAAAGGCAGGCAGCATACCAAGGATCACCTCCACAGCAGGGCTTCTAAGATCCCTTTAGAGCCCTCAAGACATGTAAAGACTAATACTGACTATATGACAGAAACATTTTAGCAGCAATTTTTAACAAACGGGTTAGAAAATCCTCAAAATCATCAGCAGATTCATTTCACTTAGACTACACTGAAGGTCTGTAGAAGAGACTGATTTGGAAATTTAGTTTGGAAACAAACTTACAGACTTCAGAAATATCTTCCCCTCTGTGCTGCCCTTGCTTCTCTAAGTGAGGGCTCAGAATGCATATTGCTAGGCTGTCAGCAAATCAAACATCTCAAATATTATCCAGGCAGTCAGATATTTATGTGCCACTTATTTTCCACAGAAAAGTCTAAGCTTAAAATGCATAAAGATATAAAATTGAATGGATGTGTTATGTGAAAGCACAAAGCTAAACATATAATATAACAGACCAGTACACTACCTTTCTGCATTTTTCAAGGCTACTTTGGTAACTAAAATTTGACAGGTTACCAGACTAGATTCCTCTGAAACAGGAGAAAAAGGGAGGAATAGCATATGAAAGCCAGACAGAAATGCCTGAGGAAGGTTAAGTTACTGTGAGCAACCACTTCTTTGAATGGTAGTCCAGATACCTCCCTCCTACTAGCAACCTGCATTCCAGGTTCAGAGACAAGTAGCCTTAAGGCTTGTATCAACCTGATTTCAGAGCTAGCAAACTGCAAAGTCTGTCTAAATTTCTTCCTGGGGTCACTATTCAAAGGCAGACAAAAACATTCAGCACAAAGTGTGCTGAATGGGTGGAAACTAATGGAATATTAAGGATTTAGAATGTGACTAAGACTGCAGGGCTAAGGCCTCTACCAAGGATTATTTTCAAATACTGTAATCAGATGGGCATCTCATCTATTTTGTAAAAGCAAAATGGTTCAACATATTTCCCACTGTTGTGGGCAGAGCATTACTGGCTCACATAGAACAGTTTCTACTTAGATCTACAGACCTTCCCTGAAGAAGGCACTCCCTCCCATCCCCTGAAGTGACAGAGAAAGGAATTCTCCCTAGACAGGAGATACAAATACAGAAGGGCTTTGGCTGGTCAGAACGATAGTTGATGTACAGTTCATCACAAGAAAAACACATTCCTGTTGCAAAGCTTTGACTCACTAAATTATGGCAATTCCCATCCAGGGCACTCAGCTGCTGAGGGCAATGCAAAGAGCCTTTCATCAATGGCACTGAATGATCAGTCAGAGCCACACTGAGCTACAACAAAACTCGCGGGGCATCTGACAGTAAGCACCAGGATCAAGAACCAAGAAAGAGATAAAGTATCAGTGTGTCCCTTGTGCCTCTCACCTGATCTTACATACTTAAGGAGAGAAACAGCCTAATGCTTGCCTATGTAGATAAGCAGGACACACTGTGCTTTAGGAAGGATTCATCCTGAAGCAACACAAACAGGTGAAAGTAGCCTCAATCAAAGAAAGAGTGGGAAAACAAAATCTCCTTTTCTATTTGTACTTCCAGAGATGCGGAACATTAATTATCTCTCTCAATTTATCTTTAGCATTTTGTCTCCTCAAAGATCAAAACTGCAGTCTGCATTCCAGCTCTGACTAGACAAAGACTTAGATTAGCTGCATTCAATTGAAACCTGATACTGATCCATCACAGTACTGGTGTGATTATAGCCCAAATGAGCTGTTATGGCCTTTGTGACCATACCTAAGAGGCAGAAGATGCAACATCCTATCAGGCAATCCACTATAGATTCAGTATGATTTTTTTTTTCCATTAAGTTACTGCAGGATGTATTTTAAGTTTTTTTTTTTTTCAAACAAAAAAGGGAAAAATATCAAAAAGAATGAAAAACATCAACATCTGATGACATCTGCATCAAAAATGCAAATAACAGGCCTTGTAAATTGAATTCAGTACAGTCTGTGTTACCATGAGAAAAAAGCACTTTTTGTGACTTTAACCAACTTTGTAGCAGAGGATCTAACCACAGTCAGAGCCTCTCTTCCCGTTTCCCAAATTCCTAAAGTTTCATTAAAAAAAAGTCAAGTTGCAGCACCAATCTAATCTGCTGTTCTTTAATAATAAGCTAAATGAGTATTTTCAGTCACAAACCAATTAACTTTATACTAAAAGAAAGTACTTGCTTTATATTCAACAAGGTGCCTGGCAAGAAACAATTATGCTGACAGATCTGCTGCTCTTGCACACACATAAACAAAGAAGCCTTCAGCTTTCATTACTGCCACAGGAGAGGTGGAATCATCAAAAAGCACTCTTCATGCTTTGAGCTCACTGCATACATTACTGCTGGCAGCGCTCGAACCTGTCTTTTCTTCCATCTTGTGTTCCAAGTGTCAGACTTACTAAAATGTATTCAGATTACACAACTTCAAAGGTCTAACACTTGATCTGATCACAGTAGGGTTCAAAACAGGCCCCAAACACTCAAGAAAATATTGTTTACAGCTGCCTACACTCTGCAAAACATGCTGTCAGTGTGGTGTGTATAAAACCTCAAAATATAAACAACTTCAGTCCCACTTCACATAATCCCTCCATCCAGGGCTTCATGAATGGCTGTCTTGAGAATTAGATACGAAACTATTCTCTTTATGCAGAGCTACAGAATCCTTTTTCATCCAACTTTACATCAGTTAGTAGCAACAATTACCGAGTAGAACAGCAAGTCTCCCTAAAACATCTATCACAGCCCTGGAAAGACTTTTGAGGATATTTATCACAGCTTCTTCCTTCTACTGCTAAGAAGAATTTAAGCACAAGGCCCCTGCTATTTGCATAATGCTTGACTTTTATTAGTTGTCTTATGAAACCTAATTTACTTAAAATTCTCAGCATACTATATGTGGATCAGTTGAATTTAAGTTTTCTAGAAGATTCACAGGATTAATGGAAGTAAATCTCAAAACTGACTTGTTAGTTTTGTGGTGATAGAAAATGAGATTAAAAAAAGGGAAAAAATGGCGTTTGACTTACTACCTCATAATGCAATTCACAATTCTCAACTATCATATGGGCTTTTTCTTATTCTTTCTGTTATTAAGAAACTAAAGCAACTAATGTTATCCCTCTTACAGTAACATCACTTGAAATAAACGTGAAAGAGGAAAAAAAAATCTTGGAAAACAGACACTCCGTACCAAATAAGCATATAGAAAAAGTGTGATTTTGTATAAATGATTCTTCGGAAAGAAAATAAAGTAGCAAGAATTTTGGTAACTAGATCAAAATACTGAATTCTGCGGACTGCTCAAGAAATCGATGGCTGGCAAGCTGTGCATCAAGGAACTAGCAGTCTTGAAACATCACTAAATTACCTGAAGATTATTACCATGTTAGTTAAGCAGCAAGGAGAAAGCAACGTATAAACAAACTATGAAGAAGCAGCTATTACTGCAATACTCATTGCAAACTTGCAATTAAATCTCTAGATGTCAGTTCTCGCATCCAACAGATATATTCAGGATGTATAAGCCTTGCATGCTGGATTTTAATTACAACTTTAGCAGTTGTCCACAGTTTATCAGCCCACAATTTTAATTAGTATATCTGTGCTTAAGTGGGTAAAATAATACAGGTCAACCACTTAAAATACCACACGGGAAGTCAAAACACACTGACTTAAACTAAATTTGTCTTGGTGAATTTTAATTAAGCCACCTTAAGAATATTGCTAGAACATTCTTTGAAACATATCACTCCATAAAAGTCATAAATCTAATTATTTACATTTTCCTTTATTTTCCTAGTGTAGGTAAAAAAAGTTAATGTAACAAGGAACTAGTTCACCTCTCCCCCCACTCTTTTTTCCTGTAGCACTTTATCCTACAAATTTAAATTTTATCACAAGAAATTAGGTTGATGGACACCAAACATTTTTGGAAAATTCTACATAGAATTACAGCAGTGCTGTACACATTTTTTTTTTTCAGCACCAGTTTTAATTCTCAAACACTGGGTGGAAGATCGGTGCCTTTAACATTCTGTAACTCATTAAAGAAAAATCAGATGCAGAGGGTCAATGCATTGTAAGAAAGAGACAATTTAATTCAGGTATGTTTCCTTTTACAGGAGCTGAAGTTCGAAATGTTACTGTCCTAAACTTTAATTTTACTAGACACCAGCCTATTCTAGTTTCCTATCTGGGAGCAAAATGGACAGCACAGTATTTTCTTCTTCAGCTGAACCACTAACTTTTACTGCAACCTATCCATATCCAATTAAATGCAATAAACCTTAAAATAATTTTCCTGACAATTTAAGAAAAACTACTGGCAACAACTAACGATCACAATTTTTCACAAGCTATTTCCTTACCATTAGAGGAAGGGCCCCTATTTGCAAGTGGTGAAGTCGAGGAGGTGCATGGTAATGGGCTAAGTGAGGATGCAGAGGCCCAGGTGGGTAAGTTGCTGCAGTCACACCAGCTTCAATTCCCAGCTCCCTGTCACACAAATGGAAGAGGCATTGCAAAAAAAGTACATCTTGTCTCCAAGATATAATTCCACTGCTTTGGGAAGTGTGTGACACAGCATAGTTATCAACACAACTGTTTTATGTATGGCAGTTTATTTCTAAAGCCTATTTAGGCTTAGAAAAAAAA